TATTATTGAGCATGACGTAAATATATAAAAGAATAAGATGAAAATTTAAGAAGAAATGAAAAAATCTCGTACTTAACAAGAATAAGAAACAAATAAATTTCTAATTTGCAAGTTCATCAGGGTAAAAATTAAACGTGATGAGGTTTTTTTTAAAGAAGTTTTATGTGAAAACTTTTTTGGCCAAAATACTTAGCGTACTAGATGCCCAGAATGGTCTAATGTGCAATGTTGTACGTTTATTATAACAATTAAATGTTTGAACACTGCGAAAACACTATTATACCTAAAACAAGAATCAATTTACTCCTTACACATATTATTTTATTAAACAAATACATGGTTACATTAAATTCAAGAATGCAGATGCTAAAAACTCGTTTTATTGAATTGAATTGTTAACGACTGCAATTCTTTTCAAGAAGTGCATACTTTTTATAATAATTTCAATCTGTCAATATACGAATATATTGATTTCTTTAAGTTGATCACTAGTTCTTTTATACCTACATATCAATATATTGAGTATACAAATAATGAATCTATAAATTGAAATGCTTTATGTTTTAAAAAAGAATATTAAATAGCTTTACCAAACTATGTTGTTTTGGTTGACACGATACATTTAAACTTGAACCTAGTAAGGAACTTATTAAATGAATAAAGACGTCTAATAATGCACTGTCAGTATAAAATGGTGTTAGTTAATAATTTTAGTAAAAAATTAAAACTGCAACTTGCTACTTGTTTTGCAATAGAAGTATTGAGAAACTTGTTTTCTTTTATAATGCTTTAGTATATGACTTAATACATATATAACAGCTGAAGAAAGTGCATAATTATGTTCGATATTTTTTTTCCGTCTAACTATATTTTTCAATGGGTCTCATCGTTGTGATACCTACTTACAGTAATTACAACTAGGTAATAAACACTCAAGTAATTGCCTATTATACGAATGATGTTTATAAAACGCATAACAGAAATAATGTCGATTTATTGTTAGTTATTTTTTTCGTATGCACTGTGTGCAGACTGTAAAGCTGAGGGTACATATACCTGGGCCTAGTGACATCAACTGACGCGCCTTCGAGATGAGTCACGACCAGAGAGATGCATTGGCGGAATGCCGGTTGATGACGGTCGTGTGGTTATGGACAATACAACAAAATATGTTAATGTTACTTCATAGCTCCGTCGTAATAACTAAAATAAAACAGATTTATTTGTACATATAAGGTTTATGTACAAATAAAGCTGTTTTATGCTTGATTTAGAATCAAAAGTTATCGGATAACGAATTACTTAATAAATTTAAATGTTAAAATAAGCTAACAGGAAAATGTACACATGTATCTACATGTTTAGCATATCATCACGTCACTTAAATAACCTCAAGGTAAACAGAACTGTAGGTATGAAAATATTTTTAAAAGATTGATCAATTATTATACTATCATTAAGAAAAAAGAAAATTAATTTTACATAATTCAACGTGATTGTCACAATATGGCATATTCATTGATGGTTTCATTAGAATTGATATAGATGGATTGAGCTATTTGCAATAGCTTGAATAAAAAAATTGTTTACGTTGACGTGTCGTATTTAGAGGCGTGGGATAGTGCCGCAGGTAGAAGGTAAACATTGATAAGGTTCCCCATTTTAACACATTACGCTCGAGTGCTTGTTACAAAAAAAGCACCTGATGACAGACACCCAAATTAACAAGTGGATATTTTTGTTATGACTTGCAAATTACGTATGAATCATAACGATTATTTGTTAATTTAACATTTAATGTTCACTTCTTAAGTTTTAGACCAATATTCATTAACATTAGTGTATAATAGCAGTTTATGAATATTCAGATATTTAACTTATCTTATTCTTTATGAACAGGTATTATGAATCCTATGCATTCGTGTGTCGGCGTAGATATTTTAAAGTAATATACAGCCTAGCCTAGTCGGAATTAAGATGGTTTTATACATAAAGTCGTTTCTACTTAACTAAGATGTTTTAAATTAAAAATACGGACAATAAACTTGATAGAAACGTACATTTCATCTAAGATTTTACGATGAAATACCTGCCACAATGGAAAGTTTAAATGCTGTTTACGAAATATATACATACTCGCTCCACTAAAACTTTACGTCGTGAATCTTACATTGATATTGAACATTCAATACGATTGATGCAGTTTAGCTTTATCTAAATTATGTAATTTTACCAATCTAATAAAAATCGTGATGTTAATTGATATATGAGTACAACTAAACATTGAACATATTATAAAGACGTTTTGAAGACATACCTTGACCACGATTTGCCCGCCAAATCCTGGAGCGGGACAAGCGCCTTTTACGACGCTAAAGCCTCCGACTCAAGGACTGAACACAACACAAGACACAAGAAAAACTTGTTGTCACTGTTTCGAAACACACAACTTGAACACAAACTTATTAAAACAATGTTAAACTAAACTTACAACTATAGTTATTTTTATATATAACGTATTTAAAACTGTATTTTCTCACAATTTATTCACTATTATCTTTACAACAGGATTATTTACGATCGTGCGACATCACGCACTCAATCAACACACCTGCGAAATATGCCACTGTTCCGCGGTGACTGAATCTACTGTGGGACAGAGATAGCTAGATGTTGTCAGAGAGAGATACACTATGACGTGGACGTGGAGGGAGGACGACCGCTAGGCTTCAAGAACGCACGCTGTTCTACTTTTCCGATAAAATGTTTAGAATAAAAAAGTTGTATTACGATTTGAAAAAACTTTTAATATTTAAACTAGTCATTAAGTGACCCTTACACATCATGTATAGTTCAATTATAATTATGGACACTATGGTGATAGTTGATTTATCTTTCGATATTCTTAATTATTTTAAAGGCTGTTGATGTGATGTGATATAAATATGTATATGGTATATATTAAACTATAAACTATTTTCTGGTATAATTTTAAGTTAATTTGTGTTATTTAAACAATTTAAATCACAATTATATTGTTGTTTTCATTTTTTAAATTATGATTTTTTATGATTACTTCTATAAAAAGAGTACATACTATACAAATACTTAAGTTAACAATGAAACCACTTCAAATGTTTTTGCATAATTCATACAAAATGAAATACATTTAAGTCCACGCAAACTAGACAACGACACACTGTGCCGCCGTACCTCCTGTTACCTGGCACCGGCGACCACGGTGTTCAAACCCCCCCTCCGCCCCATCTCCGCGCGCCGCATGATTTAAACTTTTAACTCTACCTAGAGCCGTTGTGACTACAAATTGAAACAAGTTACAAAACTTATTTATCTTATTCACATCAAAATATTTAATTAATAATGTAATTTTATTGTTTTTTATTTGTATCATTGAAACTAAAGTGAAAATAATAAATTTCCAAATGCAACAGGTTGTTGATTCGTATTAAAGATAAACAAAAATTAAAAACATAAAATAATTAATGTAGTAATGTTATTTACTATACTATACATGTTATATTTATGGTTTTATAAATTTTGGTTTAAAAAGTTTAGTTTATTAAAAAGGTTACGTACGTAGAGTAGATGCGTCGGTATTAGGTAGAGTCCGTTATCGAGAGTAAGTGAGAGGTAGTTGGATGCTGTGCTATACTTGCAATGTATATATTTACTTAAATGCGACGATAACTTATTAAATGAATAACAAATAACCACACGAATAATAAATCGTATTTCAGTAACAAAGTTTTAAATTGTTTTGTGCTTCTGTGTGTTCCGCGATATACATTCTCTATCTGTGAAATTAAACTTTAGTTTCATTAGAAAGTTCAAGCTTGAATTTACAATTCATTAATAAATAAACGCGTTGAAATCGTTTTTTTTTCAGACAGGTTTTATAAACTAAGACAAGTTTAATAACGTTGTTTTTAGTAATTCACCTATTTACGAGTAAAATTAGTGGTAAAAAATATACTAATAACATGTAAAAATAACATAATTATGTCTAAACCCAAAATAACCATAGCTTTTACTAATTGCTGTAGCACACGTATAAACATACTCAGAAAATCTTTCAAACAAAACTACGCTTTGTCTCATAAGCCTAAAGCTCAAAATAGTTTGACTGTGGATCTGCTAGTTCCTGCCACTGCGCTTCGGTGTGAATTCAGCCGAATACTCTTTGATCCTGAGTTTTTGGTAACTTGTTTCCTTTGCCGACCTTGATTCTTAAAAGGCGAAGGCGCTAGAACAAAGACGTCGGATGTCGGTCGCCACAGGAAACAGCTAAATATAGAAAACGCCGTTATTTGTGAATGGGTTGAATTTAGTTTTCATAGAAATTTATTGCACTGGGAACCCTCCTCATACTTCACAAGTGCAATTCGGAAGTTTAAAATTACATTATGGTCCTAGCTACCTTCTTTCAAATATGCAGGGTATAGGCAAAAAGACCAAAGTAAAGAATGTTTCCTACTGCCTGAAGAGGTGAAGTTATTTGTGTATACACACACTAACACATTACTTTTACTTTGGTTCATATGTACCAAAGTAAAAGTAATGTGTTTTCTTTTATTATTAAACAAAAAAAGAAGAAACACATTTAATTTTATTTTGTATTATTAATAAAGTAGCTTGCCATCTCTCGAAAATTATTGGAACTGTTTGAATAATTCTATCAATGGCCATTTACATAAAAAATAAGGTTCTATATTTACCGGACTAAGTTCTTGTATTTCACAGAGTATTTACCATTGTCACTTCAAGCGTACTTATAAATTATTCAAATGAGAGTGCTTATAGCAGGTATAGAGGAATGAATTAAACCATACCACAAATACTGTGAAGAATTATTTCTAAAAGACATTTTTTTATAAGGTTTCAAGAGTCCAAACAGTCAAGTAATAGTTCGATATAGAAAATATCGAACGCTGTTATCTCCTCTATTACTTTGTTTCCTCGTGTGTATCGTAAAATAAGAAATGTTACAATATACTACTGTAAGTTATGGCAGGAGGTATGAGGAAGGAGTCATTTAATGTCCCGGATTTTCAGTAGATGCGCCCTGTGCTTTTCACAGTGGTCAGGTTTGCACGTTGTTGTTAAAGAAGTTATGAATTTTTCGAAAGGCGTTAAATAAATTTTATATAACAAATCACTCGTTCGGTTAGGTTGTGAAGATCCCTTATCATCAATATATTACTTCGTTAACAACCCTATTGGTATATAGAAAATGTGTTATTATTAGAGAGCCCATCTACCTTTGAATCACTTCTCGCGCTGTGAAATAAACTTACTTGTAGAGAGTTGTGTTCACATGCTTCGTTGTAAGTAGGTCTAGACCGTTTCTTGTCGACCTTTTGTTTTCATAGTAAATACACACAGAGGAACGTAAGGTCACGTCTTTGACCCTCCATTGAAGGCAACAAAATCTATGAGATTCCTCCATCGACATTAGACCTACTCTGCAAGAACCTCAGTTTTTGATCTATTCTTATTTCAGGATATCACCTTTTACTATCGTAGGCGTAATACAGCGTATTTTTATTCCTTCTGAAAACCTCACTATGGAGGTTTCCATTTCATAGGTACGAAAAAAACCTTTCAGGTCGCAGTAAACTATCGAGGTCAACCTCGAGTTCAAGCCAGATTTTTTTTCCTTGAGTAATTTGATTAGTGATAGGAACATTACCTACCCATTTAGTTTTATATGTATTTATATTTCTTCAGTGTCCAGGTGAACACCTGGACACTGAAGAAATACCAACCTACCTACCTACCTCCATCGACTTTCATCGCAACATTCTCTTTGCAGCTCTTTTACATTTATGAAAAATATTTTACTACGTGGAACTTCTGTACCTACTATTATATATTGTGTGTACTTATCTACCTATCTACGTATATTAATCTGTTCCCTTTATTCGTATTCTAGACCCTATACACATAGTAACATTGATTTACCTTATATATAACCTTCCTTGTCAATTTCCAGAAACTCTATTACAATCTTCAATATAAGAGGTTTAATTTAAAATAAACCATTAACTCCATTAACTATGCAGATACACTTTCTTTCTGAAATTTTCGTTCTAATCTTTAACATAAACACGGTTTGCAGCTCTTTATTTCATTAAGAATTTACGATTTCTTTTGATAACGACATATTTATAATGTTGACTTTGTTGAATAAATATGATTGTATTTTTTTTTTTAACTTTTTATTTTCCATATACCAATCACCTATTTTGCGTTTGAGAAAAGCCAGACCTCCTGCCTTGTTTACCTTCTTGTGTAGCGACGAACCTTTTTGATTCTTGATACTTCCAGAATCACGGAAACCCCTAGTTTGATAAAAAAACGACCATGTCAATAAAGTTATAAAGTGGACACCCCTTTGGTTACAGGGGTTATTGTGATTATTTCACCCACAAACGGTACTAACGTTTTTTTGACATTATAATAAGTAATATAACTCTATGATAGTAGGAGTTATCGCACGTCATGTAATATCTTAAACAGTATAAACTAAAGTTGTAAAAATTAAATACTTCCAGGTATGTTAATAATGCTATACATAATATATATGTACATTATTTATTTAATTCTAAGTAACTTCTAACTACGCTTTTACCTTTTGCATCTCTAATGATTATTTTATAATACATTTAAATACAATCAAACGCTCTTTAGGCTAACGGTATTGTTTAATATATTGTTCGTAACGCGTACCTATTTAAGAAAGCTGAAAACGTCACAGAAATGTGGGAAATTCATAAAAAAAGTTTCTTAACAAAAGGCGGAATATCCTTTTCTGTATTCTTGACGAGTGTGTCCTCGTGATAATACGCTAAAAAGTTAGAGCATGAAAGTATGACAAACAAACAAACTCACGATCGCATACTTTTAAGGTAGATTGTAAAAACTGACAATTGTAAGATTTATTTACAATCTTTCTATTAATACATATGTTCGTGGGTATGCTTTATGGTAGCCTTTAATAGTCCACTGCTGGACATATGCCTCTCCTTAGAAAGGAGATTTTGGCCTATTTTACCTGGCTGGCCAGACAGGGTTGATTTAGGGTTTGCTTCAAGTTTTCCTTCTCTTTGCAGTGCTGTTGTCCTGCGTAGTTTACGTCACCCACGGGATGAATAGAGGTGGTGACACTCTGTATTCTTAATCGGTCACCACTCTGATGGACCATCAAAATACTGTATTGCAAAAATCTCAGAATCAAATTACACCGCCTTCAAACGTTAGTGAACGTAAGTTGCATATCGTAACTAGCGTGATATGAGACGATACGATGTAATACGTTATATTTCATTATTCCATTGAATTCAATTGACAACAACTGGGGGACAGTTCGGATTCAGTAGCAACTCACACTAGTCGCGTTCGTTTACCTTTAAAAACCAAAAGCGTAAATTTGATCAAGTACAAACAAACCTATTGTGTGAACTAATAAGTGACCAAAAAAAAAATTTTCGAACACCTTTTGCGAAAATATTGTAAGTAATTAACAAAGTTTAGTAACGTTTATGCAACAGAAACATATTTTATATCAGCTGACGTATTATAATCGATTCTGTGTAAATTAAAGACAGTAAAATAATAAAATAGCCAGTAAAAGATCCACGGTTAGCAACCGACAGTTCTTTAGTAGATACATATATCCAAGTTTACAAAACGTTTGAGAGTTGAAACATGATACAGGAATCTTGGTATACTTCGTGGTACTTTTAGAATATTTTCTTTTTTCGATAGGGCTTTATGTATATAAAGAATCTATATCCCAACAAAGTTTGCACAATATTTTTATACTACGTGGACAAACAAATATTCGATCCGCTTGACTAAATCGTCTATAGTTATAAAAATTGTTTATTATATCCTTAGGTGCATAAAAAATATTTTATAATCGATTCTCAAAGAGGAAATGACCTAACTTACAAATGAATAATAATGGCTGTATAGTGTTAGATGCGTAAACTAGAAGTTTTTATGTTTTATGCATGTTTAATGAATGTTAACGTGATGGTCTGAGTATGTCTGTGACTATACTTTTCAGTTAGAATATATAACTAAATTTATCAACGGTTATTGTCACCCAGGCTACACACTTCCTAGTAATGATTAAATATATCACATTCATTGCTATTTATCTGATATATGTATATGTGTAAATACAACAACAAGGATGTAAGGAGTAACAAGGAATAAGTAGGTTAAAATAATTTCTAAATTGGCAAATCATTCTCCAACAAAATTGAATAAATTCTTACTACAATTTTTAATATTGTACTATTGTATTATCATCATTTGTTTTTATATACGTACAGTGATTTCTTATTTACGATTGCAACTTAAAAATCACTCATCTGTTAATCATAAAACGTGCACACTAGGAAGTAACAAAATAATATCTTAAGTATGATATGTTATCTATCTTGTTAGTATGATTAACTTTGCAAACAAACACACCCATGCACGATAATGATAGTTATCTACCTCACTACATCTATGTCCCTCCATTCTTCGAACTGCGTAAGGATAAAACTACTTTAAAATCATAACAATGGCCTTCTGTGAAAAAAATGTTACAATTTAAGCTCAAATTTGCTGCGAGTCAATTTCAACACAAATAAAAATGTATTTTCAAAAAAAAAATCGCCGTCCATCCCGGGAGATTAGCTGGTATTAATAATTGAATAGCTTCCTAATGGAACTAGTATCCAAGTTAGAAATAATTAATTCATTAAGACATGTGGTTTTGGATGACAACTTTCAGGCCTACACAAAACATTCGGCCTAAATATCCATGAGGCCTTCTCAATACCTAGAAACACGTTAAATACTGTTTGCCCATATTCTAGACATTCTTTGCCTATTAACTACTAGATTCTGCCTTGCTTTTCCTTGGGAAGAGATTTTTTTCTGGATGAAAGAAAAACTATAACCTTTTCCGTCTTCCCGACAACCTCAGCCTGTTGCCGTCCACTGCGGAACGAAGGGCTCCCCCAACGAGCGCCACCCATCCGGATCTTGGGTAGTCCGGAAACGTGTATGCTAAATTTGATGGTGATCGTATCAACAGTTAAGACCTGAAACCGTAATAACCAAACTCATTTTCTCATTTATTATAACATTCATTTAGGAAAAATATAAACTTACTTTGTGGGTATACCAGGAGAAAAATGTAAACCGCCTGAATTTACATTGTAGCATTTGTTTGTTCCACAACCTATTCAACGATTGAAAAAAGTCCTTTCTTTTATTTATTTATTTATACTTTCTGCACAAATGTGACAAGGCGGACTTAATGCCGTAGGCATTTTCTCCCAGACAACCTTAGGGCAATGCAGAGCTAAAACATGGTAGAAGCACAGAAATTTAAACAGTGATTTTATGAAGAATATAGCACCACACGGACATTTATAGCATAAATGTCCGTGTGGTGACGGATTAAGAATACAGTGTCACTACCCCTATTCATCCCGTGGGTGTCGTAAGAGCCGACTAAGGGAGCAAACTACTCAGAACAACAGGATTGCAGATAGAAGGAAAACTTGACACAAACCCTATACCAACCCGTCTGGCCAGCGTGGTATAGTAGGCCAAAACCTCCTTTCTAAGGAGAGGCCTATGTCCGGCAGTGGACTATTAAAGGCTGTTGATGTGATAGCATAAATAGGATATTACATACCCAGAGTGCTTATATTAATTACATTAGAATTTTTACTAAATAATAAATATATATATATATATATATATATACAGGGTTAGTTATATATATATATATATATATATATATAGGACAGGATGTATATGACTGGATGAAATAATTGTCGTCACGGAACCTTCCCGGATCAGCAAGGAGCCAACGCCTGAGTGCCACCACTGCGGTGGATCGTGGACACGGCTCTCCATACGTTGGCAGAATGCCCGGCGTGGGTGGAGCAGAGGCGTGACCTCGTGGTGGCCATCAGAGTGGAAGTCCTCTCGCTCGGTAATATAATTGCCGTCATGGTACAGAGCGAGAGTGCTTGAAACTCCGCCGTTTCCTTCTGCGAGCAAGTTATGCTTGCGAAGGAGATGGCAGAGCGGGTCCGGGAGAGGCTTACGACTCTCCCAGCCCGCCAGGCCTGGGAACGGGCCAGGTGGCAGCCGTGGCCTTTTCTTGAGCATAAAGGGAACATGGGGGTTCTCATACAGGAGGGTTCATCTACACGCCGTGAATGGCCCGAGGTATGTCGGGGTAGCAGGGATTTCCTTTCTAGTGTACACCTGGTTCCCTGCTACTGGTACCCGAGATGGCGCCGTGCGGTTTTTGGTCCGTTCGAGTCCGACAGAATCATCCCACTGGTGGGTGATATCCGAGGGGATTTCAGGACAGGAAAAAAATGGTCAAATAATTGTGGAATGAGCCCGATCATTTGTTCTGTTTCTGGGTGTAATATTTCTATCATATATTTGTATTTAGAAATATTTAAATATGTTTATCACCAGTCTGGTTATACTGGATTCTTGCTAATCCCTCCGAAAATCAATGTTTACTTTCTATAAATATAATAACTACCTGTAGTGTTCTTAGTACGACGCGACGACAGTTTAACTGCAGCCCTTACAAATTACAATAACGCCGCTATTATAATTACGACCATAAACTTAAGCCAAATAGTTTGTTGTTTTTTCTTTATACGCCTCTAAATAGCTATAAGTTATGTAGTTATTGTCAGATCTGTAGACGATGTGTCAAAATGAAAGTGTCAGTTTTATATCACTATATTTTTGAGCCACATTTACAATTTTATTTAAGTCCACAATTAAAAATCGTTTTTTTTCTGTAAGAAACCTTACGGTTATTAGTTATAGATTATAAAGTTAAATATTCAAAATGTCGAATGTGACCGTTGGCCTGCTAAAATATGTGATATGTATTGTAATAGTATTTAAAATATGTGTGTGATTTGTTAGCAGGTGACTGGATAAATATACTTAGGTTTTTAATACAATCCAGATTAGTTAGATACGTAAAAATTAATCCTAATTTACTTTCCATTTCCTACCTCATTAGATTATAACCGACTTTGCCACAGTATAAAACTAGTCGTTACTGGGAAAAGTCTTGTTTATAAATATATGTATAGTATGTATATTAGTGAGTGAAAATCTAAAAGGTTGCGTGTGGAATATTAACTGATCCCGACTAGCATTCGATTTAGATTATACGTGTCGGTTTAATACAGACTTGGAGTCATCATGATGGTTTTAAAACAGTCCACTGCTAGACATAGACCTCTCCTTAGAAAGGAGGTTTTGGGCTACTTCTTATACCACACAGGCCAGACGGGTTGGTATAGGGTTTGTTTCAAGATTTCCTTCTTTTTGGAGTGCTGTTGTCCTGCATAGTTTGCAGCCTTAGTAGGCTCTTACAACACCCACGAGATGAAAACACTCCGTATTCTTAATCCGTCACCACACGGACTTTAAAAGTACTGTAAAAAGTGCATAATTTTATTCAAACTTAGTAATTATAACATTCACTGAACTTTTTTTACAAAAAAAAAAACAGTTTTATAACATACATATAAAATTTGCTATGTTTGATACAAAACATATTAGTTACGTGAATGTTAGACGATTTTTTTTGATTACATACGTAATCTTTTAAAACTGTAATTTATTATATCGGTGGGTATATCACATAAGTGCCTATTACTCCGTATTAAGAATACTCCGTATTCTTAATCCGTCACCTCACGGACAGTCAACTTGGAGTATTATGTCCATAATTGGAATTGCTTCTGTTTTAGAATATTAATAAAAATATACAACACAAATATACAATACAAATATACAATACACACACATGAAAAAGTCAGATTTGAACTTTTGAACGAGTCATCATATCATTATCTAGTGCACCTAGTTACACATTTCAGCACCACCCTACCCATGACATTAAGTCCGCTATTGTAAAACTCATACTTGTGCATAAAGAGTTAAAAGAAATAAATATATTTATATTTCTTTTATAGATAATAACCAAGCATTATTTGATGCATTAGTAACTAAAGCAACGAAATATTTATATCTTTAATAATTATCAATATATGTACCGTTACATAACTAAATTGAACTTTTTAAGTTTTACAAAATTAATAACGACGTTTTTTTAATTATTTGGTAATGCAATACAAAGTGCGACAAAGTTGTCGGCAACGATTTTTATTGAATTTATAAGATTGTTTATCTGATCCTCGCAATCGGTCCTAATGAAATTTTAACAAGTCTTTCAGTTGTTGGGTTGTCGACACTTCGTCCAGGTTCTCTAGAACACGTCTCTGTAGCATGTCCCATGCGGGCGAGGTCGATTTTGCAGGCCACGGCAATACCCAAATTTTTTCATTGCCAAGTAATCTCTGGTCCTCAATCTGAGCCAAGACTTGTGCAAAAAATCTATTCTTACCATATAACAATACAGTATTGTATACTGCAATGGTGTACAATAAAGAAATAAATAAATAATAAATAAAAATGAAATAAAAATTCCATCTTCATTCTACTCATTGCGTTTACTGTTTTAGTGTGTTGAATTGGTAGGTTTCATCGGTTTTCTGCTCAACATGGAGCCACCCAATCAATTAAATTGTACATTTATTAGACCTCTTTAACAGATCCGAGGATAATGTTACAAGTATTGATAGGTGATAACCCATTACCCACTACGCGGATCTTTTCTTTATTTTCCTACTAATTTGTCTTAAAATGACGATATTATATGAACCATAGGTTTACTAGGGGTAGGTACTGCTCGTTGCTTGATGCTACAAAATAAGGAAGAGTAGGTATCCATATATCATATTATTATATGTATAAAACGTTTATTGTTATTGTTAAATGTAAAAATAATCAATCTTTGAAATCAATTCCGATTACAAACTTTTAATATATTATAATATCGCTCGAAACACGACGAGAATCACTCGACCTATTTTCTTTTATATAAACTGGTGAATAATTTTATTGACTGCCCCCAGTTATTATCTAGAATAAATTTTAATGTCCCTCTTAAGTGTTCCAGAAATCCTGTCAATCTACTGTACCCACCATCACGTAAAACGGTCCTCGGCTTTTACTTTCCCATACCAAGACTAAGTAGACTCTATAATAAGTTCGGCAAAAAAATTGACATGCTTAGTACCAGTCTTTATAGATTTAGAAGGGCCAAGTTCACAACAGAATTAATTAGTTTCGGTAGCCAAATTAAATCAAGCTGTCAATTACTTAAGTTTTATAAACTACTATACATACACATATACTATTTTATAACCCTTTTTATCCATTTCTCGTTTGTTTTTTTGTATTTAATTTTTTTTTTGTTTTTTTTCCACCATACTACCAATTGTCGCAACGTTACAACAAACGCAATTTTAAAACTGTAACATTAATACGAGTACTGGTTATTTATAATGTGTTACCACTAAAATCATCATAGGCAGTCCGCGCATGACTGGAAGGATGGATCAAAGCAAACTGCCACCCATTACTTATAATGGCACAGTCATTCACTTCAGTCCCTCTGTTAAGAACCTAGGCCTATTTATCGACTCCAAGCTCAGCTGGCACTTATACGTATGTACTATACTCGTATGTATGTATGTAACTCAGCAAGTATGTATATGTATGTGTATCTCCGTATGTATGTAACCTAATTTTAATTTCATGCACCTACTCAGACATTTCCCCACCACCCAAAGGTAGACTGGGAGAAAATGCCTTTGGCATTAAGTCCGCCATTGTACAATGATTTGTTGTTTGTGCAAAAAGAATTAAATAAATAAATAAATAAAATCCGAATGTTTTCTATAATTGTTGTGTTTGCCAATTGATATTGTACACCCATACTTTATATAACATGCATGTATTATTTTTAAGAAATATGTAACAATTGTAGGCAAAATTATGAGTGAATAAATAAATAAGTAAATTCCAACATTTGGATCATTTAAGAATAGCTCGTTCATGCAAAACTCTTACAATTTTTATAATACATTCGCAATTGATATTGTTCCAGGTGCTGTAGAAATCAAAGCAACAAAATGCTCACCTTCTTGAGAAGTGCAATTCGTCGATCGCTCAAAACACATCCTATACTTACACATACAGCTGTGTATGCGACATTTTATGCAGCGGCCGATATATCACAGAAGACCTTTAAGAGACTACAATATGTAAGAAAACTTAATATATTTAACTAACATATTAGAAACTATTACCGACTTAAGGCACGAAAAATAATAATTGATGAAAAGGATTGTGTTATTTATTCGCAATTGTCTAAGATATTTTTATTATGTTTCTTTCAAATGTAAATGGATTTAAATTGATCGATTGATTGATACGCTCTTTTCTTGAAGGTCGTATCAGTCCGGAAAAACTGTAGACGATAATTTGTTCCACAGAACGGTAATGCGATGCAAAAAGTTTCTTGAAAATAAACAGTGGGGGAGTGCCAATTATCCAAGGGATGGTGTTGGAAGTTTTGCCGCGTGGAAGGGTGGAATCGATGTTATCCAAACTTAGAATTTTTTAGTTTTAATAAGATTTTAACCGACTTAATTTCCGTAAAATTTGACCGGTTCATTAATATTTATTTGGTTTTATAACGTCAGGAATTATAACAAAATATTGAAAATTTCAAAAAGTCTTGGCAGCGGTGGGATTCGAACCCACGCCTCCGAAGAGACTGGTGCCTTAAACCAGCGCCTTAGACCGCTCGGCCACGCTACCTACGAGTTCTTGCTGTGAATATTCTCATTGCTATCTCGTGTTAATGACGTAATCAAGACACGTGTTGAAAGCTGTGTATTGGTACTTGAAATGTTACATGAAACTCTAAATCGGATTGAAATAAGTTTAAAACCTTATCAATGGTTCATAAAATATGATTCATGCTGTATTCATATATTATACGATTCATCCGATTTGTTGGTCGTACGTACTTTGTTAATACCTGATTTCTTGATATATACTATATATATATATATATATATAAATTTATATATATAGAAATATTTGATAAGTTGCACGTACTGTTACGAGTCTCGGGGAACTTGTCTTTTTAAAAAGAAATAAAATACTAAATAGGGTTAAGACAACCGTCTGGCTTGGATATCGGGATGAGACTGGTGATGAGTGGACGGGTCGTTCGGCTATTGATGGAGAAATGCTGAGTGTGCAGAGTAGAAGTGTGGGGTGTGCAGGAATGCTTACATAAGGCATCTCTAACACCTCCCTGGGGTAAACTAAACATCGGGGTAGAAATTTCGATGTTTAGGGAGAGAGAAAGGGTAGAAGAGGAATCAAGAAGAGATGGAGAGTGTATGCTTACACATTTCTCCTAATACTAGGAGATGGTAAGTTTTCCGGTTCCGGGAGATGCTTGGTGATCTTTAACGGGATTACCGTGTCGGGATTTGGAGTTGGTTCTGGAGGTGAGTCGGCTGGAGTTGGTTTGGAAAATATAGAAAAGTGACGGGAAAGACGGTTGTGCGATTTAATGTATAAAAACAGTTTAACACTACAAAAAATAGAAATCATACAAATACTTAAAATAATTAAGATTGAGTAATGAGTCTCATATTTTATTATCTGGTGTTGATTTAGAATAGAATCTGTTTCATCAGACAAAGATTTTAATTTTAGTTTTGTTTCTGATGTAAAAACGTCAAGGTCGATGTTGTGTAATTTTAGAGGAGGCTCATCACTCATCAAGTTCCTAAACTTATCTAGGTTACAACAGGAGTCGTTGATTATACTGAAGTCTGAATGCGCTACAGTAACATTAATTTTAAAATTATTAAATTTAGGTATTAATTTTGTATTTTTACAGTATCCGATACAATTATTCGGAATAGTTAAAATTCCTGTACCAATAATATTAATATCGTTAATTTTTCGATTTGGGCATTCTATATACAGTTTACTACTTTGAGATTGTATGTAAATCCAATTATTATTGTAAAGTGGTTTCCATAAATCTATGTGTCCGTGAAGGAAATCAGTTTGACACTGCGATGGTAAAACTCTTATCACATTTGACAACAATTCACTTTCACAGCTCGATTTCGCACTCGTCGGGAACACGGTCAATACGTCACAGATATACTCGCGCTGGCTTATCGGTGTGCATTCCTTTAGTGAATCAAGGTTACAATATTCAGATTTATCCTTGGTCATTGCTATGTATTTACTACTAGGAATTATGAAACTAAAAGATTGGGGGTCTACATTACTATGTGGGGTCGGTAGTGCAATACTATGGTACAAACTGTATTCCTTAGGGGATACTAAAGGTATTCTTAAAACAAAAACAATCCTGTCATTTAAACTATAACATACTACACTAGATATATTCATTAGACTATGAATATTACTTAACGCTAAGCTTACAGGTAACTTAATATCTACAGGTAAGTACCGATAGTTATCGACAATCTCTTGGTATAATTGCGAGGGCGTTATAATAATCGGGTGCAGGATGTTTTGACTACACAACAAGACAGCAGTAGTTATGTCTTCTAACCGAAATGATAAGGTGAGTATGGATGCTTCTAAACTGTTCATGATTGAATTTATTTTTGATTTAATGTTTAATTCGTTAGAAATTAATGATATGTTTTGCAATTTTGAAGAGAAATTGTCGATAGCTAGGTTAAGGCTGGCTTCATTAATTTTAATCTCGTGTAACGTGTTATTAATTTTTGATAAAATAGTAGAAGTAACTAAGATGTTTTCTTTCATTAATGAACTCAGCCTTTTTTCGTTATCTTGAATATTTTGAATGGCGTTGTCATATTTGACAGCGTCGTTCTCATCTAGGGTCCCAAATATAGTTTTAGACAGAGTGCCAATACCTCCTATCCATGCCCCTCGTTTGAACCTTTTGTTAACTAAATGGGATATAGAGGAATACTCGGAAGTAATGTCGCGATACCTTACTGTAAGTGGTTCTAATATATTGTAACATTCTAAATTGTTTGAGGTTTCTATTGCAATTTGGTTGCAGATAAGGCGTATTGTCCCTAGTATCGAATTTATATTTTTGATGTGAGGTTCAATATAGGAGATGTCTAATGGTGTCACTATATCCAAGTGGCTCACGCGAATTTTGAGTTCGCCAATTGGGTCAAAGTATATACCTGAGCTCGTGTTGATTTGTTGGACGAACTCTGCGTGACCTTGGGCAAGCACGCTGTAACGAAAAGAGACATCTAGATGATTCTATAGATATTATATTTATATTGGAATAGGTTTAGTTTTATGCTATGTTTCTCATATTATTAATGTTTATACCTACTTTATAATAATAATAATTAAGGAAAAATGTAATGAAATATAAATGAAACGTATTTAACTACTGAATTAATGTAAATTTAATTTTAGTCTACCGTTTGGACTTCTTCCTGAGCGTCTTCTTAGACGTTCACGTGTCTCACTTCATCGAAGTGGTGTTTCACGTGTCGTCTATTTATAAGTAATGTTAATGTGTGGTTGTTGTGAACTTTAATGACCTTGTAAGGGCCTTTCCACACAGGTGATAAGGCTTTACGTAACCGGAGATGGTTTTTTAGGAGAACGTATTCACCGATTTTATACGTCACCGGGCGAGTACGGGAGTCATAATAAGTTTTAGAGTTCGTTTTGGATTGTATGATAAATTGTTTAGCCCGATCACGAGTATGTTTCATTCGATGTTGCAACATCTTTACATACTCGGGGTAGGTAGTAGTGGAAGTGTCGTTGTAGACAGAGTCGGGGATATTGGATTTATGTCCGAATACTAATTCGTATGGTGAGTAGTGCGTAGTCGCATGTATTGCGGTATTGTATGCTAACATAGCTGTATAGACATATCGGGGCCAATTATCTTGGTTCTCGTTGGTATAGGATCTTAGATATTCTTTAAGGGTTGAGTGCGATCTCTCTAAGGCGCCTTGAGTTTGCGGATGATAGGGGCTGGACCATAACTGCTTTATTTTGAGGAACTCACATGTTTTCTTAAATAACTCGGCCGTGAAATTAGTACCTTGATCGGTGAGTATATGTTTCGGGATTCCGAATAGCGATATAAAATGAAGTAGACATTCACACGATTCTTCTGCAGTATTACTTCGTAGCGGATAAGCTAACGAAAATTTAGTAAGGTCATCTTGCATGGTTAGGATAAATCTAAGTTTGGCCGCGCCGGACTCGGGTAGAGGACCTACAATATCGAGGGCTACTCTCTCAAATGCAGATGTAGAAGTGGAAGTGATTATCATTGGTGCCCTATTTATTTTCCGTAATGCCTTATTTGTTTGACATGATGTGCACTTTTTAATATAGTTTTCAATGTCACTACGCATGTTTTTCCAATAGTATCTTTCTTTAATGCGACTTATCATCCTCATAGATCCGAGGTGTCCTGCGACGGGAATATCATGATTTTCTTTAAGAATCTTTGGTATTTCGCTCAATGAGGGATATATAATATTGTTATGGTATATGTGTATTCCTATATTAGTTCCATCGAATAAATAGTTGAACATATTGTAAATTTTTACAAAAGAGTGTCTGTCAAAGGGGTTTTTAAAGTCCGATGTGCTAATTTGGTTTATCGTAGGATAGGACATCATTATTTGATCACGTGTGTATTTTAGTGATTTAAATATATCTGGGTATGAGAAATCATCAAAATGGTTAACTTTAGTGAATAGGAAAAGATATGTTTTGTTTTCTATTACAAGGGGTGAAAATGTGCACAGGGTTCTTTCTGATTGTAGAAATTCATTGCGGATTGGTTCTGGACAACTATCAAGGATTTCTTGAACATAAGGCATGGACTCGTCCATATCTATTGAGGTAGGTATAATTATTAATCTTTGTGTGCTTTTAAGAAGAGTTTCATTATGTTCCATTATTAAGGTATTATACACTCTTACGGGTAATTTTAAGAACCTGCTGTACGTTACGTCAGGTTGAGACAGAGAAGGTTGATTGGGAACGGATAAGGTTTCGGGATCTTGACGGCTAGTTGGGGGCTCATAAGGTTGCACACACTCGGGTAAGGTTTCAGGATATTGCCAGCTCGTTGAAGGTTGAGCTTCGGACTCAAATCTAGCAGGTTGCTCTTTGTCAACGGAACTCAGGTAATCCATTACCTCATTTTCAATTTCAGGGTTTATAAGGT